TTGTGAAATAAAAATGCTTGGACTTCTTTTTATCAGCAACTTCAGAGGCTGGATTTTCTTGCTTCGGGGAGGGGGGGGGGCGGGGGGGGGGGGGGGGGGGGCGAAACATTGAGTAAGAAATGAGGGTGCCCTGAACATGTTGAGGGTATTTTGCTTCTTACCTAACAATTAAGAAATTCCGAAGGTACACACACACACACACCAAAAGCAGAGGTTTCTTGTTTATATTGGTTACTTCGTAGGATGCACCAGGACTCCTATAAGAGGCGAGCAGGAAGCAGGCGCAAGTTGCTGCAAAATGTTGGCCCGATCGCATCTGGCGGAACGCAGGCAGCCCAAACACTTTGACATCCCAAGCCACATCCCTGTCAACCCTCAACCCTAAACCCTCACCACTTCCAAACCACTATATATATATATATATATATATAATAGAACAGACACATATACACATACATATACATATACATATACATACACATACACATATACATATACATATACACATATATATAAAGACACCTTGGTAAAACTCGAGTTCCCAAGGCTGCTGACCCATCGGTCGTCGCGATGCACCTTGTGGTTTAGGGGCTTAGGGAATCGGGTTTAGGGTTTAGGGTTTAGGGTCTCGGGCCCAACGAATTGTAGCTTCGGAGTCTGAGGGCTTGGGGCTTTCGGAGGGTTTGGGGTTGAAGGTCTTGCGGTTGAGTATGAAATGGGGACTCAGCCTTGTCGTTGAAGGGTCTGTGAGCTACTTTGAGGAAATCTTGAGGCTCGGGGTTCTTCCAACGGCATGAAGCCCAAGGACGCCCTTCCCCTTCGAACAGATCCCCGACGCAACCCTAAACCCTAAACCCTAAACCCTAAACCCTAGAACCTAAACCCTAAACCCTAAACCCTAAACCCTGTAAGCCCATGAGCCCGAACACAGCCCTCACCAGGCAGCGCCGACACGATGAGCTGGTTCTCCTGCCTTGATCCCCCGAAGGTAGGGCTAAGACCGCCCTCAACTCTAAACCCCAAACCCCAAACCCCAAACCCCAAACCCTAAACCCTAAACCCTAAACCCTAAACCCTAAACCCTAAACCCTCAACCCTAAACCCTAAACCCGAACTCCCTCAGCCCTAAAGGCACAAAAGGTAGGGCATCGAACCTGCGAGTGGACACGCACAGTCTGCCGGGCCCCCAGCCTCTTCCCAAGCCTGTCAAGGAAGTTGTCGTGGGCTTGAGGGTTTAGGGTTCAGGGTTAGGGCTTTATTCCCACCTAAAACCGTAAAAAAAAAAAAAAAAACAAACAAAAAAACAATAAACACGCGGAAAAAAAACATCAGCCCTCTGTCTGCCCCGAAACTCGAAATCCTAAACCCTAAACCCTAAACCCTAAACCCCAAACCCTAAACCCTAATTAAACCCTAAACCCCAAACCCTAAACCCTAAACCCTTGGCTGCTCGTTTCTTTGTGTCCTTCAGCACCGGGCTCCTGACCTGGGCTTCCCTCCACCCCACCTCGCTCCGGCGTTAGGCTGTATAAGGCGGATAAGGTAGGGTTTAGGGTTTAGGGTTTAGGGTTTAGGGTTTAGGGTTTAGGGCTTAGGGCTTAGGGTTTAGGATTTAGGATTTAGGGTTTAGGGTTTAGGGTTTAGGGTTTAGGGTTCAGGGTTCAGGGCTTAGGGTTTAGGGTTATCCCTATAAACCCTGGTAGCTTCGGGGTTCGGGGTTCGCGCCTGCTGGAAGGCGGCGAGCACTTCCAGAGCTGCACAGAGCAGTGGAATCCCGCCACTTTCCTGCCCGACAGCTGGGGGTTTAGGGTTTAGGGTTTAGGGCTTAGGGCTTAGGGTTTAATTGAAATTATTCAGGGTTCAGGTCCGGGGAAAGTTTCGAGGAGTTTCGGGGAGTTTCGGTTGTTGGACTTTTGAATAATTTCAAGCTGAAGGAGGCTTGAGGGTTCAGGGGTTGGTAAGTATTTGGCCCTCAAGACTTAATAACCGGGGTAACCGATTTCTAGATCCTTGGGGGTATAGGGTTTGGGGCTATATTGGATGTCTTTACTGCCCCCCCTCCCCTCGCCTCCACTCCCTTGCCCGACCCACACCCAATCCTAAACCCTTCAACCCCAAACCCTAAACATTCAACCCTAAACCCTATTCAACGCCCTAAACCCTGAACCCAATGAAAACCCTAAACCCGAGCATCAAACTCTTAACTCTAAGTATGCCAGAGACGCGAAACACCAAACCAGCCCTATGACCAAGGGTGGATATAGGAGTCCTTCTGTTCTGGAGAAGTCTCCGCCCAAACAGGGGTACCCCCTCCCAGTCTGGTTAAACCCTAAACCGCTAGGCCCTAGCCCTAATCGGGTGTGGTGAAGGATAAAGGGTTAAGGTACAGGATTCAGGGTCCTACCCAGCACCTAAGCCCAGGCGTCCAAACCAAAAAACAAACTAAACCCGAAACTGCTAAGCCCGCAACTCCTGAAACCTAAACCCTCAACCCTAAACCCTAAACCCTAAACCCTAAACCCTAAACCCTAAACCCTAAACCCTAAACCCTAACCCTAAACTCTCTTCACTAACGAGGGCTGCTGTTGACCGTGGAAGTCAACGCATAGCGGAAACGAATCGGTGAGACGGAGACTGGTCCGAAGGCTAGTCCAGCGCGTGCTTAGGGCTTTTGGTGATTGAGGGCTCAGGGCTAGGAGCCTTGGCGACTTTCTAAGGTTTAGGTATTAGGGTATTAGGGTATTAGGGTATTAGGGTATTAGGGTTTAGGGTTTAGGGTTTAGGGTTTAGGGCGGTGGGTATGGTGAAGAAGTCGCTACATCGTCGACTCTCTGCGCGTGCTCAGAGCTGCTTCTGGAGAACAGCGACAGGAACGGTGCGGCCGTCCAGGAAAGTTGCCTCACAAAGTCACATCTGGGTTTGGGGGTTTAGGGGTTGGGTTTAGGGTTCAGGGTTCAGGGTTTTTTAGGCTTTAGGGCTTAGGGGGATAAAGGTTTAGCGTCTTTATGCGGGGTTCGGAGCTTCGGGATTCGGGTTTGAGTGTCTAGCTGTCACGTCCGTTCGAGGTACCCTAAACCCTAAACCCCTAGGTGGTCAAGGTTGAAGCTTGTTTAGGGCTTTGTCATCTTCCCTTCAACTGCCGTCGTCCAAAACCTGCTCGCTTCAAGTGGCTGGCACCCCGAAACCCGGGTGAACAAGAATACAAAAAACTAAACCCCGATCTCGTGGGCCATGGCCTCGTTGCAGGTTTGAAGCTTTGGGCCCACAACCATAACGCCTCAATTTTACACAGCCCCTGAAATCCTTGAAGCCCACCCTCACCCAAATCCCCCAGCCCCCTTCAAACCGTAAAAGCCCTGAAACCAAGCCGTCAACCCTAAACTACCCTACATCCCATAAATTCCAAACCCATGCAGGCCTTGAAGACCATACCAAGTGCCGCCACATTCGCCACAGCCGAGGTAAGCTGGGTGGCATGGTTCTTTGTGGGTTCTATGGGTCACCCCTACCCTAAACCCCAAATTCTTGGGACGGGGAGGCGGGGCAGGGTGGGGCCAGGGAGGGCAGGAGTAGGTGCGGCCTACGAAGGTCAGGTGGGAGCTCAGGGTCGAGGGTTTAGGGTTTGGGGTTTGGGGTTTAGGTTTAGGGAAATTACAGCTTGAGTTGGCTAGAACACTATTTATGGCACTTCTAACCCCACTTGTAAGTACCCATGAAGCTTCAAGCATGGCTACAGGGCAGCTGCAGTTTTGAAGGGTCTTGTTGGTTTCGAAAACCCTAAACCCTAAACCCTAAACCCTAAACCCTAAACCCTAAACCCTAAACCCTAAACCCTAAACCCTAAACCCTAAACCCTAAACCCTAAACCCTAAACCCTAAACCCTAAACCCTATCCAAGCTGTTCCTGGTGAGCCATGAGAATGAAGGGGCCCCAACTTCGCCCGCAAATCTGGCACACACTTCCTAGGAGGGCCCTGAGACCCTCTGAAACATATTCCTAGGTATGATCCCGAAACCCTAAACCCTAAACCCTAAACCCTAAACCCTAAACCCTAAACCCCAACAGAGAAGATGCAAGACATCCCAAAGACCTTGCTGGCTTCAAAGCTGCTGCCAACCCCCAATCTACCAACCCCCTAAACCCTCAACCTTAGACACTAAACGGGCGGCTACTAAGGCCAGTCCTCCCTAGGTGAGAAAAAGTGTTCCTCAACATGATACTCTTAAACCCTATAAACCCTCAACGCAAGAAAGGAAAATGCGTAACATCACAAGGGCCTACATGACTCGCTGAATCCCAAAGCACACCCAAAGCCTGCTGAACATTCTCTCTACCCCAAGCTGCAAGCCACAGGGAAATCACTCGAACGCCTGAACTGTTGAACCCATAGGAAAAGCATGAAAGCCCCAAATCCTGCACCCACCCACCCACAAAACCCACCCACTCACCCACAACCAAATCTAGAAAAGAACAGCGTGGGTATATGTGTATGTATGTTTGTTTGTTTGTTTGTTTGCATGTGTTTATGCGTGCGTGTATATATATATATATATGTGTGTAATTAATGTATGTATGTATGTATGTATGTATGTATGTATGTATGTATGTATGTATGTATGTATGTATGTATGTATGTATGTGTTTATGCGTGTGTGTGTGTGTGTGTGTGTGTGTGTGCGTATATATATATATATATATATATATATATACATACATATGTTTGCTGATAAACTTGTGTATATATATATAGAGAGAGAGAGATGTATACATGTAACAGCTGATGGCAGCAAACAAGCCAAAGCTTCAGCCTCCCCAGCCGGACAGCCAAACACAACGAAGGCCTCAACCCAAACCCCCCTTACAATATCCCCATAAATCCTTAGAAATCCTTAACCCCCCCCCCCCTCCCCCAGGGTTCAGGGTTTAGGGTTTAGGGTCGAGGGTGTAGGAACCCTAACCCTAAACCCCAAACCCCAAACCCTAAACCCCAGTAGAAACCCTAAACCCGAAAGCCGAACCCCCAAACCCCTAAAAGGCCCAGGGCCCGAGCTCCAATGGCTTGGTAGGTGCCCGAGCTGTACATGGCCCTCCTCGGAGGGTTTTCAGGGTTTAGGGTTTTAGGGATTTAAGGGTTTTGGGGTTCTGGGGTTTGAGGGTTTTAGGGTTCTAGGGTTTTAGGGTTTTAGGGTTTTAGGGATTTAGGGTTTTAGGGTTTTAGGGTTTTAGGGTTTCAGGGTTTTAGGGTTCAGGGGTTCAGGGTGTGGAGCTTTGGGGTTTAGGGTTCAGGATTTAGGATGTAGGGTTTTGGGGTTTAGGATTTAGGGTTTAGGGTTTGGGGTTTAGGGTTTTAAGGGTAGTGAGGGTTGTACAGGGCATCCTGCAAACAAGAGTTACAACGTTCGGAACTGCTTCGTGGCTCGAAGCTCTACGCCCTAGAACCCAACCCCAAACCCTAAACCCTGAACCCCAAGACCCAAAACCCAAACCCTAGCGAATGCTGGGCACTCCTGAGGATGTGAGCAGGGTTACCATCGCTCAGCGTGACGCTGGTGATAGTCAGGATGCCGCAATCCCCACCAAGAAGCCGGATGGGCACCTGGGGTTTCACGAACATAGGGGACCCCTAAGAAAGACACGCAAGGAGTAGGATCCCCTTATGATAAGGACCCAATAAGGTATCCCTGATATCGTAACCCTGTAAGCCTTGCTCTCAGACCAGCGAACCCTGCAAACCCTGCAAACCCCACAAACCCTGTAAACCCTAAACCCTAAACCCTAAATCCTAAACCCTAAACCCTAAACCCTAAACCCTAAACCCTAAACCCTAAACAAAATCCTTCAGGGATCTTGTCCTGGGCATCGGGACCAAGACCTCCCAAACACAAAGCCCTACCACACGGGGGAATATGTGCTCCTGGGGCTCCCCCGCTTCACAATGGCATGACTTACGAACAGAATGGTACCCGAAAGGGGACGTATACATACATACATATATATATATAGGGTTTAGGGTTTAGGGTTTAGGGTTAGGGTTTTGGGTTTTGGGTTTAGGGTTATATGTTTATTTATGTTTATGTTTATATTTCGAACCAGCTGCAAATTCCTCCTCCCTCCTAGCCCTGGCCATGCCACAACTCCTGTGCGCTCAGAGCAAGTTGAGCAGGTTGAAACAAGCCCCTCGCAAATAAAATAACTTCAGGGTTTAGGCCTTCGCTTCACCCCCCTCCGCACACATGCGAACCCCAATTCATCAGTCTCACCCCTTTCTAGACCTTGCACCCGCGCAATTCCTGCATGGGCTATTATACCCTATAACCCCTTCAAAAGGCCCTTTATAGGGTTGGTTAGGGGGATTATAAGGCCTAATAGCCCATGAAGGCAGAAACCACCTTTGCCCGTGCGGGCTTCCTGAGGCGCGCGCCAATATGAGGTTCGCCCCGCACAAGATCCTGCTTTATTCTGCTTAAGAGTAGACTGGCCTTGACTTTAGCCTGTGTAACATGAAGGCTCTTCGTACAGCCGAAGCCCTACGAGGCCGTGCCACGCCTCTTCACCCCAATCCCTCAATGCTGCGCCGGACCCCTAGTAAGCTCAACAGCCCGAAGAATCAACAAGACCCTCGGCGCTACGGTATCGAGCCATTGGACGCGAGCGCCATGTGCTCCATGCCAACCCTAAACCCCAAACCCTAAACCCTAAACCCTAAAACCGAAACCCGAAACCCTGAACCCTAAACCTTGACAGTTGCAGGTAGATTGCGTTGCCAACAATGCACCCGAAACCTTTGAATCCCTATACCTTCCTGGCCACCCACGCACTAAGCTGTGCGGGGGCTTGCTTGTTGGACCCGTAGAGCTGGCCCGTTCCCATGTCAAAGGCACCAGTCCAGGATGTTAAGCGTTTAGGGCTGCCAAGATAGCAATCCCGAAGCCCTGAACCCCACACCCCTGAACCCCAAACCCTAAACCCTAAACCCAAAACACCAAAACCCTGAACCCCAAGCCCCAAACCCTGAACCTCAAACCAGCTTCGGGGCCGAAACCTTGTACCCTCAAACTTGTGATTCCTGCAAAGGTGGTCGCAGGTGAAGTAGCCAGTCAAAGCCTGCAGAGAGTGGCAAGTGTCTGTTGCATGTATATATATATACAGATTTATTTATATATAAATATAACAGACAATGGGTTCAGGGCTCATAGGGTTTAGGGTTTAGGCCTGAGGGTTTGATATGAAGATACATATACATATCTATATATATATGTATATATATATATACATATGGTAGATCTCATATGTGTAATGTATGAACGGACACTGATCTAAGATAAGCAGTAATAGATACCAGATAGGCTTTAGTCTGTGGTATATAACGAAATACAAGGTGTACCTATATGTATATATTAAATATTTTTGATTTATGATGAATGATAAAACTGGAATGCTGAATGACCTACCATGAATCAAGTACAATCTGTTTGTGTGTATAATACAGAATCTATTATGCGATCAAACTTGCAACAAGTTACCTGCAGTCTACAACCTACAGTGTAGACATGTGTGTTACATGAAACCCTAAACCCTAAACCCTCCACCCTAAACCCGTATAGACAATGATGAGCAGTATTTCAGCACAGGTGGTGGTAGTGGTAGAAGGGGAAGTGATGGCATGTATTGTGCTTGACAGCGGTGCAGTGCTGTGATGTAACGAAGGGCCTATTTAAGGTACACCCTAACCCCTAAACTTGAGTAGTGGTTTAGGACTCACTCTCATCTCTGCAATGTAGAACACAACCGCGCTGGGCGACCCGGCCAGTAGCCCCGACAGGCGGAAGTTATGCGGAAGCGTCATGGTCTCTGCCTCACGTGGAAATTCATCGTGCCCCCAACCCTAAACCCTTCTCTGCAAATCCTAAAGCCGTACAGCAATAAAGCCCTTCAACTCCAAACCCACAATCCCTAAACCCTCAAGCCCTTACCTAGGAGGTGCTTGAAAGCTCGCGGCAAGACTACGGCTTGGAGCTGAGAGCGTCTGGCTTTGGGTGTAAGGTTGGGAGTTTATAGCGCTTATTGTTTACTGCCTAGGTGGCCCTGTAGTAGGTTTAAGGTTCAGTTCAAGGTGAGTTGTACCTTCGTCCCGCCCACACAGCAAGAGGGCTCTCATTGCGAGGGTACTTGGCTGAAGCATGTGAGAGTACGTCTGAGCTGGCAACTGCAAAAGGGTACCTTATTGGCAGTAGTATTTGGAGGTTGATGGGTACTTCTAAGTAGGGGTTACTTGACGTACTTATGGTTATAATTGGTTCTAACCTTATCATTAGAATACTTATAGCCGCACATAAAAGTACCCATGAACCTCCAAGCAGCGTCTTTTTCTTGAAGAGTCGGGTTCAGGGTGAGGTTCCCAGGACCTCCAGGAAAATTCCAGACAAGTCATCCCCAAAATTGTTTGCTGGGCGGTCCCCACAGAGGCTGCCAAAAGGTCGCCGGAGTGTTCCAGGGGTTTTTGGGCTGGCTGCGGATGCTGGACCCAGGGTCGGCAGCTGCAAAAAAGGGCTTGCGCCCCCCCGCAACCGGATATAGGGTGGGCGGCCTAAGCCCTTGATTTTAGGGCTGAGGGTATCCGAAGCCATTTGCTACCCCCCAAACTTTCGGAGTGCATTTGACTATCGGGGTTGGTGGAGCCAGATAACCCTGATTTGAACCACCGCAAGAGCTCCAAACCCTAAACAAGCCTGAAAGCTAAGCCCTAAACGCTAAACCCTACCACGCCTGAAAGCTCTAAGCCCTAAACCCTATACCCTAGAGCCTAAACCCGAAACCCCAAACAAAGCCTGAAAGCTCTAAACCCTAAACCCTAAACCCTAAACCCTAAGCCCTAAGCCCTAAGCCCTAAGCCCTAAGCCCGAAGCCTTAAACCTTAAACCCTAAACCCTAAGCCCTAAAGAATAACCCCTAAACCCCTACACCCGGCCAATCTTGGGCAAAGAGCTGCCCAAATGAGCAGCTGCTCGTGAACGTCACACCAAAGGACAGGCCTGCAGCGGGGGCTCCCGGGCGTGTCTTCAGGTTTCTAGGGGCCTGGAAGGGCTTTGAGGGTCTTAAGGGTCTTAAGGGGTTTTAAGGGTTTCACGGTCTTGAGGGTTGTTTAAGGGGTTAAAGGGTTTTGAGGGTTTTGGAGTTTTTATAGGGATTAGATGGGGAATATTTCCGAGTAGGATAAGAGTCTCAGCCTACGTTTGGTGTATTTATTGAGGTATCTTGATCGGTACTGGAGGGTTGAGGTGGCTAGGAGAGATCAGAAGAAACAAGCAGCCGTCACTGGCAGTCATAGGGCTTATGACCCAAGAGTAATCTCGGAACAATCAGGGCACCCTTTTGGGTGTTAAAGGAGCTTGTAAGGGAAACTAAGCCCTGAAAAAGGGAATAAGGGTCTCCTCTGGGTCCTAGGTTGATATGTGGGTCCTGGGTTTATCTATGGTTCAGGGTCGAGGGATGCGCTTTTGTCACCTCGCGTCGTGCCCAGGATAAGACCATTGCCGGATCTTCCGTGCCCTACCGCGCTTTCCAGCGATGGACGGCGCGAATGACGGCGCGAAGCACGACCCCACAACCCTACAGCCAACGCCCCTTGCAGGACCTCAGCAAAACCTAAACCCTCCTAGAACCCTCAGCCCCGAAGCTTGCCAAAGTTTCAAACCCTAAATTTCACCCCACACCCTAAACCTCCTAAAAATCCTGAGCTCTCAGCTTCTGAAACTCAAAAAACCCAAAACACTGAACCCTAAGACCCTGTGCGGCGTCACTTCCAAGCGCCCTTCCAGGCAGCGGAGCTTCCCAGAGTTCCTTTGCCTCAGCTCATGCAGGCAGACTGGCGATGGCAAACGGTTTAGGGTTCAGGGTTTAGGTTTAGGGTTTAGGAACCCCTAAACCCCAAAAAAAACCCTAAACCCTAGACCCTCAACCCGAACTGGGCGGGGGAGGGGAGGGGAGGGGGCCTGGGTTGAGGATTTAGGGTTTCGGGCTAGGGTGTAGGGTTTAGGGCACAGGAACTTCAACAGGTTACAAATAACAGGGTTCGATTTGTCACATTGTGAGTTCATTTGCAAGAAGTCCCTCAGTAAAATGCCGAGGATGACTCGAACATCCAGGGGCATTGAAGTACATGAGGACTTCACAACACCTACTTCTTTGCAGGCTACCTAAGAATGAGGGGTTTGAGAAGAAGAGCCTACAACAAAGTGTTTTGGGGTTCTTCAGGCGGGATGTAGAGTTGAACCCTCTGAACCCGAAACCTGGAATGACTGTTAGATGAAGCCTGGCGTCTGTATGGCCCTCCTTGGCAGGCGGCACCTTTGGCCCAGCCTTTATCCGCTCCATAGCCACCACTGCAGCCAGCTCCCTTGTCCCAACCTCCCCCCTTGCTCCATCCCCCCTTCTCCCAGCTGTTCTGGGCCCCCAGCTCCCAGCCTCCTTTGAAGCCGCCTTTCTGCCCAGCCCCCCAGCCTCCCGCGCTCCAGCCTGCGTCCCAGCCACCTGAATCCCAGCCGCCGCCTTTTCCCCAACCCATGTCCCAATCGCCCTTGCCCCAGCTCCCCCAAGCACCCATCATCGAGCCCGGCATGCCCTTTCCTTTGCCGGCCATGCCAGTCCTTGGCTAGGGTTTAGGGTTTAGGGTTTAGGGTTGAGGGTTGAGGGTTGAGGGTTGAGGGTTGAGAGTTGAGGGTTGAGGGTTGAGGTTTCAGGGTTTAGGGTTGAGGGTTGAGGGTATTCCTTACATGGTCAATCGCCTAGGACAGCTGCCGCACCGTCGCAAGGGATGACGGAAAGGATCAGCACGCAGCTACATCTACACCCGGCTATACCCCCAACAGCCCCAAACCTCGCAAGGTCGAACTCCCTGCGCCCTAAACACAAACACCTCGAACCCTAAACCCCAAACCTTAAACCCTAAGCATCCCTAAACCCTAATAAACCCTAAACCCTAAACCTTAAACCCTAAACCGTGAACCCTCAACCCCGAATCCTAAACCCTAAGAAAAACGCCCGAGGTTCCACCGCTGCTCCTTCGGTGTGGCGAAAACCACTGCCACTGCTTCGGTGAGGCCCTGTGGAATCTGGCCGTTGACATGCTCCTGGACCCACCTGCTTCGGCTTTGGGTTTAGGGTTTAGGGTTTAGGGTTTAGGGTTTAGGGTTTAGGGTTTAGGGTTTAGGGTTTAGGGTTTAGGGTTTAGGGTTTAGGGTTTAGGGTTTAGGGTTTAGGGTTTAGGGTCCAGGGTCTAGGGTTTAGGGTTTAGGGTTTATGTGGCTTAAAAAAGCGCCAAAACCCTAGCGTGAGTAAATTCTAAACCCTAAACCCCAACCTCTCTGCCGAAGAGGAGTTGACGGGAAATGCCTTCGAAATCCGAGGCAAGCCCTTGACTTAAATGAACTTGAGGACCCAAGACCTCCAACTCTTGTAAGGTTTGGGGTTAAGGGTTTCGTGCTTCGGGTTGTAGGGTTTTAGGGTTGAAGGTCGGGGGCTCGGGGGCTCGGGGACTCGGGGGCCTCGATTGCTTCGTCCACGAAAGAGATATAGCAAATTGGGGGTATTTGGGGGGGGGGGGGCGGGGGGTAGCTCATGGTATGGGGTTCATGTTTGTAACTGGGGTGTGCGGCCTTTGGTGGTTATGGGGTTAAAGGATGTTGGTACCTGCGAACATACAGCCTGTGTGAGCCGCTAAATCTCTCTTCTGAATCCACGTAAAGAAGCGAGCATCGTACCTCATCCAGGCTCACTACCGTCATCGAGCTTCTTTTGCACCCGGCCCTAAATCTGCTTTCGGGCAATGTACCTGTGAAGGCTCAAATTGTCGAAGCCTCCGCCGCTCATGGTGCAGGCAGGTTTCAGGCAAATGACGCTAAACCAGAACCGAACTCACCTTTGCCAAATTCAGTTGAGGAACCGACACCACAAAACACTTTAGCATTTCTTGAGGAAATATGGCAGCTCCTGCCTTGCCTGAATCGAAGTCAACCTGATTCTACATGCAGTGAGTGTCGTTGAGGCATCGGACGCTTTGGACTTTCTTTTCTAACTTGGCGTCCCGCATGCTCTGACCCGCCGGGACTCGTCAAGACTCGTCAAAGTGCAACTCAACTGGGCTCAACTGAGGCAATGTTGGATTCTTGGCCTCCCCCCTCCCACAGGTCTGCGCACAAGCTTCAGCGCCGGGCTCGTGCTTTAGCATGTGGGTGAAGTCGTTACGACCTCTCCTGCAGTAGATACGACAAAGAATGACCGATCTTGGTTTGGCGCCAGGGCAGGACTGGGGTTTTGCCCCCAGGGACATATTGAAAACATCTCCGTAGCAGTACCAACCAGGGACGTCTGTGGGTCCGACTCAGGTCCCTGAACTTTGGGGCATCGCCCCACGCCCAAGTGCAAGAAGGTGCCTGGTGCATCCACCCCGGCGTCTCGGTACGACACCACGGCCGCGATAGACGACTCATGCTGCAGACGTGCGATTGCCTGCCAGCACTCTCGCACGACAGATCCCGCAGATCTCGGGAAGGCTGCGGTGACGGATTGCCAGGCGGACATCGAGTCCACCACCAGCAGTCCAGCCGTCGGATTCCTTGTCTGAAGCAGGAGAACTAAGAGGGAATCAGAAGAACACGGAAAAAGTGTGACAGTGCTAGCCAACGCAACATGGGTAGCCTTGAAACTGCTCTGAACACGTGTGAACAGGTCTGCTATTGGTCGCACGGGGTTCTCTGCGAAGACGGCACGAAGCTCGCTCAGCTGGTGTAGGAGGTCGATGGGCTCCTTGGGGCGGAACACCAGAACTCTGCTCAGGGACTCGCTGACGACCTCCCGGACCACGTCTTCTGCCGTGCCGGTATGCTCAGCTTTCACCTTCAGAAGTCGCGCCAGTAGCGACAGGTCCAGGGAGTGGTCGGGGTCGATGAAGACCGCGGGCAGACAGTGGCCGCCCGCGTCCTGGGGAAGCACGTAGGAAGAAAGGAGGTTGCGCAGGAGCACCGACTTCCCTGAACCTGGTTCCCCATGTAAGACCACCGTGTGGCTTGGGCTCAAAGAGTTGGCAGGCAGGTGCTGATCGAAGCAGGGCATGTGGGTACCTCGGCTGCTCTGCAGCATCCGATAGAGGTCAAAGGCCGTTTCATCCACCTCGACAATGGATCGGGCTCGACTCGACTTGGTGGTCTCCAGGTCGCACTCGCCATCTGCGAGCACCAGGGCCATCCGAGAGCTCGGCACAGGTAACTCGTAGCTACAACGGGGCCTATCCTACCTTGCAGGCCTTTTGGCCCTTTCCTCTGAACCAGTGCAAGGCAGCTAGCATTCCCAGCGCCATCCGCTCCTTTCAGTACCCCGCGTTGCAACCTGCATCAATGCAATACGGTCGACGTGTATCAGGTCCGGTTGTCACAAATGCGCACCCCCCCTGAACCTTAAACCTTAAACTTTAAACCTCAAACCCCGAACCCTAAACCCTAAACCCTAAACCCTAAACAGGCCACCTTGCATCTTCGAGGGAGCCCATGACCACGTAGGCGGGGGCAGCTCGTTTTCTCGCGGCCACGGGGAGGACCGTCGCGTCTGTGCAGGTGCCATACTGGCTAAAGACCTTGGAAATCCCAAAGGTTTAAGGTTTAGGGTTTAGGGTTTAGGGTTCAGGGTTCAGGGTTTAGGGTTCAGGGCTTACGGTTTACCTTAAGAACCCAAAACCAACTTTTTTTGCAGGTTATGTAAGAATCCTATAGAAGGTCTTACAGGAATAATCTACAAAAAAGTGGGTCTTGGGGTTCTTATAAGGTAGGGTTTAGGGCCTAAGGTGGGCTGAGGGTTTAGGACCTAAGGTGGGTTTCCGGGTTTAGGGACACGAACCTCAACCCAAAACCCTGAACCATGATTCTGGCGGAGGCGCCGGGCCTTGGGGCTTAAGGGTCTTGAGTTGGGATGGTCCCCCTGATACTAACAGGCCTTCATAGGGGTAGGGGGTGCGAGAATCCCTAGTAGGGACTGAGAGCATAAGGGGGAACATCCCAAGTTTTCAGGGTTAAGCTGAAGAGGATTTTAAGGGGTTGGAAGCAAAGCTTCCAGTGTTTTAACAGGCTTCTTAGGGTTTAGGGTTTAGGGTTCAGGGTTTAGGGTTTAGGGTTTGAGGTTTAGGGTGCCTAGCTCTGTTCAGCGGGTTTGAAGGATTTAAGGGTTTAGAGTTCAGGGGGGGGGGGTGAGGGGGGGCTGGCACTCGTGGTCTTCGAATGTTGCAACGGCTTGTGTGCAACATGTGTTCAGTAACCCAGCCCCTTGTCTTGTATACTTCCCGAGCCCCAAATCCTTCCCCTGCCCCCCTCTCCCCCCCCCGCCCCCCCCCCCCCCCCCCCCCCCCGCACCCTCCCTGTCCCGCACCTCCTTGCACTGCTCGTTTGTGATGCCGATGGGCAGGCCTGTGACAAACCTGGGTTGCTCTTTAGGTGAACCTGAGTGTTGGTCTCGGGTTCTCGGGCACTTTTGGGATTCCTGCCAAGCTCTGGCGCTTCGGGGGGCGGTCAAGAACGAGATGTTTGGGCGACTTCTCTAGGCTCAGCATCTTGAAATCCGAAACTCACAGGTGCTCAAGTGACATAGGTACGCCCCTAAACCCTAAACCCGAAACCACCCCCCCCCCCCCCCGGCCCCCTTTCCTCGAGGTCTGCATAAACCTGCCACCAGGCAAGGAGCAACCTCTCGTTGGGAGGGCCGACCATGGCCCGAGAGTTTTGCCAGGCCAGCCACGAAGCATTCGGGATCCAAGATGTATGTTTGAGCTTTTTTGGGTTTTTTAGGCTGATTATGAGGTTTAGGAAGGATGGGTGTTCTTTTTTTAACCTTACTTTCTCACAAAGCAAGGCACAGCAAGGAGCAAACACCGAATTTTTTCAACCGAACAAGGAAAAGCAAAACACTTCCAGTTAGACAGTGTTTAGGGTTTAGGGTTTAGGGTTCAGGGTTTCCACTGCACAGGCTCTACACCGCCGGCAGTTGTCGCGAAAGCCCATAGTCAAAGCCCATTTTTACATGTGTGAGCATTGCCAGGGAACCTAGTTTCCGTGTGCTAGTAGGGGCAAGTTGCTTTGGTGTTCCAAACCCTTAACGCGAAACCCAAAACCCTAAAGCTTGGATTCTTTTCTTGCTTGAGGAGCCAGAAACGTTTTTGGTACCACCGGGCATTGTTGTCGCATATGATCAGCTCTTATCAGAGGCGCCTCTGCGCAACCCTGAAGATTTGGCTTCGAGCCCAAGCAGCGACGGAATAGACCCTAAACCCTAATCCCAAAACCCTAAACCCTAGACCCTACACCCTCACCCTAAATCCTAAATCCTAAACGACTTTTAAGACCCGAAATCCGGGTCGGAACCCTCAACCTCTGTAGCACGTTGCCATGACCAATGCCGCCGCAACACCTCGGAGTGTATTCTTGCAGCTCTGACCCTAATCCCAAAACCCTAACAACCCCACATATACAGGTTTCAGGGGTTCGAGCCTAGGCCCAGGCTTCGCACCTATGTAGGGCCAGGTATCGGTTGGTATCGGTTAAGGAGCCAAAGTGCCAAGGCATGAGTGAACAGACAATCGTAGAACCAACCCGTTAGGGTTTAGGCTTTAGATTTAAGCATGAACCCTGTTTAGACCCTTCACCCCCCCCCCCCCCCCCCGGGGCCCGAAACCCCCGCTACCCCTAGACCCTGAACCCTAAACCCCAACCCCGTGCTGCCTCCAGCCATTGCTGAGGAGCAGGGAGATCTGGCGCAAGCTTCTGGGTTGAGAGGTCGAGGGAACCAATGCCGCAAACACCTACCGTTTGCTTAAGAACTCCCCAAAAAGGAGCATATTCTTCCTTCTGAGGGCAATATAGGGATGATTGTTTTTTTGTTTTTTTTTGTGGGGGTTTCTGAAGCAAACACTAGACTAGACACACCCCAAGAAGGTGCCTTTAGGCGCTTGGGGGGTTTAGAGCTTAGACCCCAAAGTTCAGGGTCTAGGGTCTTCTCGGCTTATACGGAACTGGTGCCCCAAAGTCCAAAAGCCCAAGAGAGGCCTCCTGAAACAAAAAAACCCAAAACGCTACAACCCGCCATCACGGTTCCCCTAAGCCCTAAGACCCTGAAACACAGAAACCCAAAATCCCCAAAACGGTAACTGCCCTCAAACCCTAAAACCCTAAGCCTCCAAACCCTAAAACCCTAAAACCCTCAACCCCGAACACCCTAAAACCCTAAAACCCTAAACCCCTAAATCCTAACCCCTAAGCCTCCAAACCCCAAAACCCCAAACCGCTCAAACCCTCAGATCCAAAGCCGCCAAACCGTGGCGCCCTGGGTCCACAAGCCCCGAGCCCTAATTTGCAGCACTTCGGGGTTTAGCGTTTCGGGCTTATAGGGCTCATAGGGTTATAGGTCTTATAGGGTTATAGGGCTTGTAGGGTTTTAGGGCTAAACCCTAAACCCTAAACCCTAAACCCTAAACCCTAAACCCTTAAGGTTTAGGGCTTCTAGGGTGTGAGGCCTTCATCAGGGTCAGCATCGCATAGAGGATCAGCGACCCCAAGTCGACGATAATGGCGGGGAGCGCCTTCACTGCACGCAGGGGTCTAAGGGTTTTGGGGTTTTGGGGTTTTAGGGTTTAGGGCTTTAGGGTTTCAGGGTTTGAGGGTTTTAGGGTTTAGGGTTTAGGGTTTAGGGTTTAGGGTTTAGGGTTTAGGGCTATACACAAGGAATTCCCAGAGCTATCTATGCATGCACGTGGCCTGTGGAGGTGGCTACTTCTCGAAACAAGATAACATTCCTGCCAAAATAAACTTTCAAGGCCCCTTTATGGCCTGTATTCAGGGTACTTCACTTGGAAGCCGGGGGGGATGGGGGGGATTGAGGATCCACATTGGGCCGTTAAGGTGTCCGGCCAAAACCGGGAAGATACATTGGCACAAAGGACCATACCTCGTGGGTTAAAGCCTCCTAAACTCTAAACCCACAACCCAAAACAACCCACAACCCAAAACCCAGAACGCCTAAACTCTGAGCTCAAAACCCACGCTCGCAAGTGTCCACCCCCAAGACAGCTCACCTAAACCCTAAACCCTAAACCCTAAACCCTAATACAAGGCCCCAGCACTCGCTGTCTCCCATACAGTGGTAAACCCCCGACATGCTTGCAGCGAACTCGCTTGAGAGCGACGTCTTTTTTAGAGTTGAATGAGTATTAGGGGGTTTAGGGTTTAGGGTTTAGGGTTAGGGTTTAGGGTTTAGGGCAGATATCATATGAAAGCGTAAATTAAACTAGATACTTAGCCTTCCCAAATAACTTCGAATGTAGACACTGCTGTATACACTACATGATGCATTCCTCGTATTTTTCACGCAGCAACGACTACATGAGGGCGCCTTTGAAACAAATTTGGGCGCTTGCGAATTAGTATGCCCTCTATCTCTTGTGCTGTAGTTTTTGTTCTCCATCTTCCAAGCATTCGTGAATTAATTGATCATAAAATTATTAACTTAGAATTGGAACTAATTAAGGCCTTCGAAAGGGACTGAATAAGCAGGTAATGAGTAATACTTTATCGACGACGATGTTTCCTCTTCTCTCCTCCTACAAAAGCAAATGTCCCAAATTCCCGAACTCCAGAAATGCCAAATTCCACAAAGATCCCGGACAAAGTCGCATAAAAGGCTTGGACCATTGGATGTTTGGACTTTGGAATTGGGGCGGGGGGGGGGGCGGTGGCGGTGGCGGGGCGGCAGGGCATGGGGGCGGGGATTTTCATGGTGACGTTCCAATCCTGACCAAGACTTCTTCGCAACCCTAGACCCTAGGCGCGAAATACAGCAGGGTGCTCCAAAGCTCCATTGAAGAGTTTAGGGTTTAGAGCCCTTCGAGGCACCAGCGGCCAGGCGAGGAAGCCGGCCAGCACCTCTGGCAAGGGCATCAGGAGCACATTGGCCACCTGCGAAGAGCAAGTTGGCAGCCCGAGCCTAATCTTAAAACCCTAAGCCATTGACCTTAAACCTTGGACCCTAAAACCCCGAACTCCTAATCCCTTCGGGGCGTTAGGGTTTAGGGTTTAGGGTTTAGGGTTTAGGTTTAGGGTTTAGGGTTTAGGGTTTAGGGTTTAGGGTTTAGGGTTTAGGGTTTAGGGTTTAGGGTTTAGGGTTTAGGGTTTAGGGTTTAGGGTTTAGGGTTTAGGGTTTAGGGTCTTGAA